ACATATTCGATTTATTTACTTCTCCACATGTTTAATTTGACTGCCTTGGTGGTGCAGTAGGTAGCGTGTGCGACTGCTGTGCTGATGGGTTCGATGCCCGGGTCGGACCAAATTTTTGAATGACCTTGAATTGAATGCAAATATTTGTTTCGGTGTTTGGATGTTTTCTATGTATAATATGTATGTATTTACAAAAAAAAATGGTATTTTATTAGTCAATCCAACTTTCATAGACTGATGGCGTTGTTTATTTCATTGATAAATCAATTTTGCAAAATTGGTTGAACTATAATTACATTTAATATCGTTAAAATATATATACCAAGTTGTATTTTAACTCTTGAACTCACAATCTTTACATAATAAAGCTATCAAACTACGCAAAAGATTTTAATGCGGTTTTCATTAATAGAGAGAGTGATTCATATCCTAGTACAGATTTTCTAAGATTTTCACCCGTGTGAAGCCGGGGCGGATCGCTAGTGTTACAATGCTTCTCCCACTAGCTATGTAGCAAACATCGATCAAATTTAAGAACTATTTGTTTATAAAAGTTTCCTCACAAACCATATAAAAATATGACGATTGTTACTTGTTACATCAACACTTTTTCAAGAATGTTCGTAGAACCTCCATTAAACATGGACAAACAATATAATAACAGAGTGAAATGGGTAATCAAGCTTCTGATTTGACTATTACCAGACCGACGATTAGGTATAGTATACTGAGAATGGGCGTTTATATCCCAAGTCTCCAGCCAAGTAATAAGAAATTTTATCACAACGTAATTCTATAGTAAAAGAGCTCGACATCAAACTTGGATGTAACAAATTTATGTATATTAGGCGACCCATAAAAATATGTATAGAGGATGAAAGCAAGTATGGTTAGCTGGGCTGAATGTTGATAATCAAATTCAGTCTAGTTAACATAGTACATTTGACATTAAAGTTGCAAGTACCGAGGGAAGGTCCCTTATCGGGACTGTTAGGGCGAAAGGTCAACACGGATTTTATGATACACAGCATGTCACGCACCGGTTAATGTGTATAATAAATAGCTACTATTTTCGTAACATCAATTTAACTTGCATTACAGGAATATATATTTTAGACTATATTTATATACAACCTTTGCCTATTTTATGACATAGTAGTATGCGGTTTAGGTCAAATCGGATAGAACTCTATCAGTGACCTATTCTACTAAATCGATTTTGATTAAACTCAGAGCAGTGTGAAAATGACTCTTAATTTTTTTTTTTAATACAAAGTGATTCACTCCCTATTGCATTTTATTTCAATACGTAAGACGAAGTTCTCAGTGTATTCCGTAGCGGGAGACAGAAATTAGCATTCTTAAATTTAATTAATTTAAACAAGAGTAAAAAGAATTAGTCCTCGGGCCCAGGACGGTAATATATATAATAATCAGAATAGGTCGGCTAAGTTTTAGCTTGTAGGTAATTATTAAAAAAAGAAGTTCTAAAATCTAAAACCATGTTAAATTTCATTAAAAAAAAAACCTTAAAAGTCAAGATATTGATATTGTAAGATAGTGTCGTTTGTCGTACCATTTTTTGTCGATACAAAGCAATTTGTCCTTTCTGACGGCATTTGTATAACTTTGTAATATTAAAATGGCAAACGTGTACAACTTGATATTTTAAATATCAGTTTCGTCATAAATAGGCTGTGTTTTTTTAAATATTTTTAACACAATACAAGCGGCATATTGTTAAAATTGTCAGTGTAATTGGTCGCTGTAAGATTGTCAAACAGTATAATAACTTTAACATCGACCGAGAAGCGTTTTACTACAGCATAACATTAATTCTTTAGTATCTCTCTTTAGTAGTCTCCGTCTTTATATCTTACAGGACTCGGACACGAAACTTTTTTGGTGATAGAATAAAAACAAGAGATTGCCTAGTGATAGTGTGGTGACTGATTAAGAATACGGATCAAGAATGCCCTATTAAACCGGTGAGTGTCGTAAGAGCCGACTAAGAGAGTAAACTACGCAGGACTTTAGCACTGCAAAGAGAAGGAAAACTTGAAACAAACCAACCCGTATGGCTAGCGTAGTTAAACCTCCTTTCTAAGGCTAGGCTATGTCCATCAGTGGACTATTGAGGATGATGATGACGCATTTTGATTATTTAGTGATTAAGTTTTATTTAATTGGCCATTATAACTTGAATTGGTATTGTATAGATCTATGTACGATGACGTCCACATATGTGTGTTTAATAGATGCATCTAACTTAATGCATCAGTTTTTACGTAATTTTGAAATTCTAATACATTTTGTTTTATGATTTTAGGTGTCGAGTTCGAAACATTCTTAAAAAGACGTACAGTCAATTTCCTGTTAAAAATATTAATATAAATGTTAAACGTTATAACTTTACCATGTAATCGTAAACAACACAGCTTAGCTACGAGAGAATTACGCTAAGGATTAATTAGAGGTACGCATAATGGAAGGTCGAAACTACTTATGCATAATATATTACGCGCCTACTGGTTCCTATATACGAAGCTATTATTGGGAAAAAAGCTTTCCTAAACCTATTAAATAACCAGGTAGATTACACTCCACTCATCCGAAGATATACTACAGAAACCTTTTTTTATAATGGAAACTACAAAAAGAAAAAAGTATAAAGATAACAAGTATACTATATTCATGACGAAGTCAAAGTCCACTATTTTCGTGATAATCGTTAACAAAATTATTTAAAAAGGCACGTTTCTATAGAATCGGTATCGGCAAAGCTTTTAATATGAGTTTTAAAACTCTTTATTCTCAATTAAGCAACCACCAAAACCGATATTAAATTAAATTAATTTGTTCTGCGAAAGTTCGACATTTCAGTAAGAACTTTTGGGTAACGTTTCTTCTGACATATTCAAATTTGTTTATAAACCAATCAGAAAACAAAGTCATAAAAGCAACTTTTAAACGCTATGTTCTAAAAAGATCTAACAAAATCTTACACGTAAATATAATATATAACTGTTTATCGTAACTTCAATTATCGTTCGCAACTTCAAAATTGCAGACAACAATGTCAAAACTAAACGTAGTTCTGTAATATATTAGCTATAATATACCACAAGTATACACTTATTGAAATTAACACCAAGATATTTAGAACAAAAATTAACAACATTATTGAAACATTATTTCAGAACTGAAATGTTTTAGGGGCAAATTACGCAAGTCGATTAAGGGCCTAGCTACAAAACTACCTTGAAATTAATGTCAAATATTTATTACGTATTTGTTTACGAAACAAAATATAGGTATTATTATATGTAAATACTTTAAGGTATAATATGTACGGTCCGTGCGGTGACGGATTAAGAATACGGAGTTTCACCACCCCTTATCATCCCGTGGGTGTCATAAGAGACGACTAAGAAAGCAAACTGCGCAGGACAACAGCACTGCAAAGAGAAAGAAAACTTGAAACAAACCCTTTTTTTTTTTTTTAACGTGTGGAAATCCCCTCGGACCGTTACCCCACCGGGGCTTGCGGCGGGGTGGTGTGTCGGACTCGAACCGACTAAAACCACACGGTGTGCCCTCTTTGCGCTGCCAGTTTAGGAGGGGTCCAGGTAGTTATCGCCTTCTGGACCCCTCCCAGCGCCGGCCCGCTCTTGGTGCGGGCTCCGTCTCCACTTATCCTCTCTTTAGGCAACGTCCGGCACACGCGGACGCCACCCCCTCGGGGCTGGCCAACTAATGCGGGTGGAGGTGAAACCCACCCCGTCCACCCGCGGCCACACTCAGGGCGGCATGAGGCGCAAGTAAGCGCGCCTCCGCCGCCCGGTTCGCCGGCGGCGGATCAGGTCCGAGTGGAGGTCGCCCTCCCGGGCCTTCTCCGCCGCCTCCTTCTGCGAGATTACCTCCTCGCAGAAGGTTGCGACCGCGGTAAAACAACTGTCGCTACCGGCCATGGAGCGAATTACGGCCGGTAGCGAGAGATCTGCTCCGATGACTGCAGTGAGGGCCCGGCGCTGCGTCGCCCATGCGGGGCAGACCGCCAGCGTGTGCTGGGCTGAGTCCTCGCGCACTCGCGCACGTCTTCGGGCGGAGGGCGAAATCCGCTCTCCGCCCGGAAGTCAGCCACTCGCCGATAAACTTCGGCGAGCACTTCCGCCTCCAAATCCCACGGGGGTGTTCCGGCCAAGGCGCAAGCCGCCTCGGTGGACACCGTGCGGTATCCGCGTATGGCTCTGACCGCCAATATCCTCTGGGGGCGCCAGAGGCGCGCCCTATTCGGGGCGGTCAGAGCCGCCACCCACACCGGTGCACCATAAAGCGCCATGGACCGGACAACCCCCGCGTACAGCCGCCTCGTGGGAACACTGGCCCCGCCCAAATTGGGCAAAAGTCGCCCTAGGGCGGAGGCAGTGTCCACCAGCTTCGGACCAAGCTGTCGGAAGTGCTCGTCGAAGAGCCACCTACCGTCTAGGACCAGACCCAGGTACCTCATCTGGGCCCGGACCGGTAGGAGGACCGAGCCGACCTCGAAAACAAACCCTATACCAACCCATCTGGCCAGCGTGTTTTAATAGGCCAAAACCTCCTCTGTAAGGAGAGGCCTATGTCCAACAGTGGACTACTAAAGACTGTTTATGAAGGAAAATTTATTAATCATTGGGTGATAATGTCTGGCGGATCTCCCGACAATTAACGCTAGAACTTTTTTGTGCTATGCAGAATTGGTCGAAGTTTCGTAATTTGGTGTGTCTTCGTTAAATGATATTGAAGTATGTTTTTCTTTGAATGTGGAATTTGCATTTTTCTAATGAGAGGCCTATGTCCAACAGTGGACTGTTAAAGACTGTTGATGATTGATGATAATAAGTACACATGCCAGAACCTATACTACAAAGCCGAACTTAATTCGGATCTAGACAGGCTGTATAGAATATTACAGGATTTCATTAAAACTATTTTTGTAGAACTATATTATTTCTTACCTGGTTATTCGGAAAAGTTCCGTCCTTGTCGATGGCGTTGACTTGGGTGACCTTGGTCCCAATGGGTTCTCCTTCCAAAACTGTCTCTTGTTCCCTCTCAGTAAACAGTGGAATCTCGTCGTTTACGTCCTCCAGCATGATATACACTGTTGCCTCGGAAGCTAATTGTTGTGCACCGTTGTTCTACACCAAAAATTAAGAAACTTTTAGCGTTTAATTTATTTTTTATTTTTTAAAGTTTCGTAAAGCACTTTACACACATACATAAAACGGACACAAAGAACACCCAGACTCAGAACAACAATTTTTTGATCAAAGTCTTGTCCCGGGTGGGGATCGAACCCACAACACTCAGCGCGGTAGGAAACGGCGAGACCGCTTAAACCACTAGCCATCCGTGCAGTCATGTCAATTCCAATTGTATTAAAATAGTTTAATGTTCTCGTGACTAAATATTATCCGCCGTCACAAACTTGTCGATATTGGAGCAACGTATAAATCAAGGTAACATAAGTACATTAATATTGAAATTTAGATCCTAAACTTAAAAGGATAAAACAGAACAGAACAAAACGAATGAATTTATAAATCCTTATTAGTTTACTTCAGTAAAGAAGACATTCTTAAAAGATTTTCTGTTAAAATGAAACGACAACGCGCCCGTTACGTCAAACCGTAATAAACTCACCTCAACACGGATCGTAAGATTATATTCTTTGATGCTCTCATAGTCGAGCGGATGATTAACTTTTATATCGGCCCATGTAAATCCGTTGTCAGCCCTTTGTTGTAAATAGAAAGTGTGGAATTTGTTAGTCTGAGCTGTGGAGCCGGGCATCAGTCGATAAAACACGGTCGGGTTGTTCTCAATTCCCGAACTGAAAAACAAAAACGCATTATAATACTCCTCTTTAGTGAATTATTAGACGAAAATCTGAGATACGACTACATAGCCCACAAGACAACATCAATTAATAGCGAATGATTTTTGTTCGAAATGGCAAAGTATAATAAGATTAAGATTTTTTTGGACTTAAACTGAATGATATAAAGTGACTACTTTATATCGCATTATTAAAGTATTTAATGCAAAAATATATCAACAAGACATAGTAAAAATAAAGAAATCGACTTCAAAAAGAGTAGCAATGAAATGCTATAGACTTCAGTAATAGATTTTTTGATGTCGATTTATAAAATGACTTATTAAGCAACTCATTTACAGTTTGGTAAAGATTATTCTATTATATTAACTCTTGGAACGTGTAGTAATGCTGAGATTATATCCAAAAAGTAAAGAGACAAGTTTTCCAGGACACTTCTCTTTTATTAAACATGTAAACCACTAAAAATGATTTTCGGTTGAATCTTTAGGTGCCTTGTGGTACCACTTTATAATCACGTTTAAGTACCACATAAGTTCTAGCTCTGAGAAGACTACAATTCATAGTGTAATTTCTGTAAGTCTATGAAACTTATTTAAGGTAATTACAAACGAGCAGACTGGTCATCTGATGGTAAGTGAACACCACCTCTTATGACCATCTGCAACCGAAGAGACACAAGTGCGTTACACCACTTCGAGAGCCTACTCAGAGTTATAGGGCCTCCCGGAGCCTCACGCAGTCGGTAAAAAGTAAGGAAAGAATAGCAGTAACAAAGCTTTTCTGTTAGACCGTGGTATCACAGAAAAGCGGTGTGCCGAAGCATGGCCATACCAAAACAATGTAGATTAAAAATAATTAATATTTGTAGATTTATAATAGTTTTACGATAAATGCAATGATGATAATGAATAATTAAAATATTATTGCCATAACAAATAAGGCCAAAACCTGACGCTTATAGTCACATGAACAGTGTCATTATTACGTTATAATAGTTTCCAAACCTAGTACTATATATACTACCAATTTGAGTACATAATTGGTAATATACGTACCCGAATTACTGTCAATCAGTTCATAATGGGTACTATATTACCAAACTGTAAGTGAATTACTTGTTGCAATTAACACTAAATCTCTGCATCCTTGGAGACCGTCCCGGGTTCAACGACCTTCCTACGTAATACATTATAATTCCATTTTGAACACATTGCATTTTTACCTTGACGCGAAATTGATAGTTAATATTTATTTATTCTTCTTAACTCGAGGCGTCGTATCACCCGAAACTATCTCGTTTGGACTGACTGCTTTTATAAGTTAGTAAGGTGAATTAGTATTGGTTTCGTCTTCATTTAATACTATCATGTGAGTTTGAAATGTGTATTTTAGGACGAACAGATAGACCATAGAGATGTGAAACAAACTTGCCATCGGCTAGCACTTAATGTGATTGATGCACTATAAGTTAAACTAATAATGCATAACAGTAACATGTCTAATTAATTACAGCCCGTGGCACAGAAGTGATGCACATTCATTTGATTTTTTAATTACTATAAATGGTTTTCTGGGGGACATACATAGATATAAATATACTTACTTTTTAAATGAACGCTTTAATTACCTACACAGGACAATACTATAAAATATACGACAACCCTAAACTTCATAGACCCCTACAACAAGCGGCACGAGCCGTAAGCGCAATGTAATAGGTATTTATTTATTTTACTGGTCATTTTCTTTTAACAAATTATTGATTTCTATTAAAATTTGGATTCTAAGATAAAATTATTATTGAAGTCACTTAATTAAAATATTACAAGATAGAACTAAAAATATGAATAATAAAATTTTACTTTACACTCACAACTCGCAACAGCTTTTGTGGCCCTAGAAACAGTTACAAAATTAATAAAAAATATTTATTTAATTAAAGTTTCTGAATATTAATTCTCTCACTTGTAAACGACATGAAACTGCATCTTACCTACCTTCTTGAGTAGTGTAGTCAACAAACAAAAAATATTTGGTTGACAAACTAAAATATTTCCTAGTATAGTATAAAATCAGGACATCAATCTATTATTTAAATTATTCTGAGATCCTAGAATGAGTTGAAGTTGTTGTAAATGTCTTGTTTTAGGTTTCGTATCACACTTAAACGTTATACGTAGAATTGATAATGAATTCGGCGAAACACTAAATATTTGAATTTATACTTTGATGTCTAAACGTGAACAAAATTGTAATACGAGTATAAATCATTGTAATATATTTTCAATATATTTTATGCTATAAGGAGATCAGATTAAATTTGTAAAAAATAACACATTTGCGTCAGTACGGTACAAATTTCCATATAACTTTATAAAACACTAATTCTATATTAAAAAAATCTATTTGTAGACGGTTACATGACAGCGCTTGACGAATCCTAGTTTAATCGACAGTTTAAGCAAAAAAGAAATTCTTAAAAATACACTATACATACTTTTCTATAGTTAATTCAGTCCCGTTCATTAAACTATAAGTTGCACGTAAAAGAAATCTTTAGAGAGATGCTCGTTACATCATCTTTAAACGACAAGTTTTATAATAAAAACAATTTTATTTATTACACGACAGTTAAATTGGGCATTAAAGCGACATTAACTCAAACCTACAATTTCATGTATCTTTTCATCTCATTAATATTTAATTTAATTATTATTTTTCTGTTCTCATAATATTTTTTCTGTACGCAGTAACATAATTTCAAGAACCGTGTTCAAGAATCTATATATGAACTGTATAATTTGCCTCTAGCGAAATACTTTTTAACAATATTTCCCATTGATCATTTCTTATAACTTTCGTTTGAGGTTCAAAAAAACATTGGAGGGCACCGACTTATTGTTGTACAAAAAAATTAAAGTTTACTCTGTGCTGCCAACACGTTTGTTGAGTGAGTTTTATTTTTCTTTAGCTTTCCTTTCTTACTTGTCAAGTCCTATAAGATAAATTATGCATGTAATAATCAATCGATTATAATCTATTTTTAATAGCAGTATATCAGAGGTATGTAATTCGTCTGCTACAATTAAAATCCACCGGTAGGATTCGATTCCCGAAGTTGCGAAATGTAAACTTTCTGAACTGTATTAAGTACTTACAACTTTCAAAACTATTTTTAAATAACTTAAACAAAAACTGGAGGTTACATTAAGTTTTATAGTATAAAATTACAAAGTACAAATTGAAAACAAGAAACGATCCACTGTTTACTTGCAAGCACTATTTTAATTGACTGATAGGAATGATCGTAAATAAATGAATCCACAACTCTAAGAACTAAAACATTTATGATCTCAACATGCTAATTGGGGCCGTATATTAAGACCTCTTAAATCTTTAATCAAACTTGGATATGATTTACATCATAATGCGCTGATGTCTCAGCCTACATGCAAAAACAATGGACTTGATAATAAATAGATAAGTACCAGTTTAATACCTCTCACAAACTATTTAAAAACATCTATTTGCAGATATGAGTGTTTCAGATAACCAGTGAACATTTTATTGCATATGTCGAAATAGATATTTTTATATAGTAAGTACAACACAAGTGTTCCCCGTTCCACGTAAGCAGTGAGCCCTTTTTATGCACGCTGGTGCGTCACGAAATACCGCGTGTGCCATGAAAATGCATTTGTAATTCACGGACAATGACAATAACATCATATATTCATATCACCAAGTGTGAGGCAAACGGTAGTTGTAGACGACCGTGGCGCAGAGACCGTCACACTGCGGATCTCACACTCCCAATCCAACTAGAACAAACCTATTTTTAACATCGTAGAACTAGATGTAATTTCAGTTTGAACTGGTAAGACGAGGACAGCCAAATACCGCATTAAAGCATCGTTCAACTTTGATTCTACTATATTCAAATATCATCCATACTTTCGTCCAATATTTAAAACATAATAGACAAGTTCAGTTAACGATCCTTCGATTCCACATTACCTGCCACACCAATAAGCTGAATCGTTACTTTGTAGGCTACTACCGGTGCAGAAACTAGCAAGATTAAAAAGTAATCACTGAAAGCAAATACTTCCCATGTCATATCAATTTCGGCATAGGTAGTAGTACAAAGATAAGGTTTACTCGGTGAGTATGGCAGAAAGTGAACGGAGTGTTGCGGGCCCCGCGCCGCGACGTCGCACACTGCGTGCAGGTGACGGGGCTGCGTGCGGTGCCCGTGCCGAACAGTTACCTACGCACCTTGCTTTCACGGACACCACTTTGGCGCCCACGGGCAAATTCTCTCGAATGTAGATCGGGCCGTACACCGTGTGGTCCCACACGGGGGGATTGTTCGCGCGATCCACTACGTCTATCTGGACCTCCACGGTTCTGGACAAGGGCGGGAAGCCCTTGTCTTGAGCCATAGCCTCCAACTTGTACGTTTCTCGCTATCGGGGAAAGAGTCGATGGAAACAGACAAAACCACGTCGTTAGTAGTGTTAAGGAGTGGAGGTGCGGCGGGCCCGGAGGCCCGCTGCGCCTTATACCAACCTGGCTTTCACACTGGTCACTACGGTACCCACTGTGACATTCTCTTTGATGTGAACGGGGCCATACGTGGTCATGTCCCAGATGGGGGGCTTATTGTTCCTGTCTACCACGTCTAATTCAACGTCCACGTCTGCGGAGGAGGGCGGGTCGCCTCTGTCGGAGGCGCGCACGCGCAGTCGGTACCTGTCCCGCTACAGATACACGGGTCAAAGGTCAGCGGGGAAAAAACAAAACATAACACAACTAAAATATAAACACATAAGTACTCATCGCTAATAAACAATTAAAATAATTTAAAAAATAAACTGAAGTAGGTATTATGTTTCACTTCCACAATGCTATTGGCTATCTGTAGATATTTATTTATTTTACAGTAGAATGTGCTATTTAAATAAAAGCTGACATTCGTCGTCTCACATTCAATAAGCCAAATAAAAGTTAAGAAGAATTAGATACAACGTAGAGTAAATTGTAATAATACGTTCGCTCTCGTCGTCTGCTTCCACTCACAGGCGCTGTCGCACTTACATTAGAGATCATTCCTTACTGTTGTAGCCAATATTAGACGGTGCAAGAAAAAATATTAAATAAAAATGTTTATCATATTTTACAAGTTTGGTCTGTACAATAAAGAGAAATACAAACTGTACATTATAATATAAGGTACTTTTTACAGTAATCAAACTAAACTAGTTTCAAAAATTAAAAAAATAACTTAACGAAAAGCAGGCAAAATGCATGCAGCTCTGCATACAAGACATGGCGGAAAGGTCAGGTTTGTCATATTAATGGTTTGGTGACCTCGTAAAACTACAACGAAACGACACTCATTGAAATGAATATATTACAAACGATGGACGTTACGTTAAACTGTACAAATTTTGGATTTGAGAACGTTGCCCCTTTCACAGAAGGAATATGTCACAACTGGCCAGATGGCCAAACTGCCTTGGGAGCAATCTGACCATCTCAATTATTAACTAATTATATTTAATATTAATATAGCACTGCCGCCCTGGAAAAAAGTCATAATTATCATGAAAATAGTATGGCATACGATATCATATTGCATGAGTAGTCGTCTACAGCACGGCGAGAAGTGGTGCGAACGGAGTTGAACCGCTCCGACATGAACCGCTCCGCAAAATAAAATCAGAGATTAGTAACAAAACATGTACATAATACATATAATATAATATTGATAGGTATGTTAAAAGCGTAAGCTTCCCAAATCAATCAATCGATTAATTACATAAAAATAAACCTCGAAACTAGTTAGTGCGAAATATACAGAAGTGCTGTTACAGAAACTGTACATGTTTTAGAACTAAACATAGGGTTTCAACGGTGAAATATTTACAGCAGTATTGTCTCTGGTATAAGATAAATATTATACACAAGTCGTATTCATCTGTAAGATAGTCAATGCAAGACGGTGCTGCGGAAATAAATGTTAACGAAGATTCAGTGCGGAGCCGACGACGGCGGCAACTTAAACTAATTGTGCTGCAAGAAGAACAAGCCCCCGACGGCCGCAGCCGTTCAATGGACAACTACTCCTCACAGCCAGGATTAACTCCTCTTCACAGCAATTTACAGCAGCGGATAATTTAGAACTATTTACATGTAATAACTTAAAGTACGTGCCAATTGAATCCTAAGGCCTGTAGGTAGCATTCATCCACCAAACTTCATGGTAAAGTTGATCCCTTTCATTCGTTCAGTCTTGTCATTCGCTCTCACCGAGTAATCAGTCCGTAATTATAAATAACAAGCATACTTACGTCGAGTGGCTTCTTAAGAACGATCCAGCCCGACTCGGGCTGGATCTCGAAATACTCTATATCGGCGGGATTATACGGAGCGCTCAATGTGTATACAATAGCGCCGTTATTATCGGCATCTTCGTCGGATGCCGATACTCTCAATATATTTGTGCCAATACTGGCGTCTTGTTTTACGTTCTCCACATATTTCTGGAAGACACATTATAATGATAGTCAACAATCACTTGGGATCGCTGAAATTCATGCAAATAGAATACTAAATGTGATTACATGCAATTATGTGCGCAACACTACTCGCAAATAGATACACTATCTTGCTTACTTGTCTGTCGAATAGAGGGGGGTTATCGTTTACGTCCGTGATTTCAACAGTGAACGAACAAACACCCTCTAGCGAGGGCTCTCCCTGGTCTGTAGCTTTTACGGTTACCGATACAAATTTACCGTCGTCACCTTCCCTATCGAATACTTTATTAGTCGACACTTCACCGGTTTCCTCGTCTACAGTAAACTTCGTTCCCTTTTGATTCGGTTGTTGCACTATTGAGTATTTGACTTGACCGTTAACGCCTTTGTCTTCGTCTGTAGCGTGAACTTTTATAACAGGACTACCATTAGGGGCCCCTTCTTCAACTTTCGGGAAATAAGTTGGACAATCTTTAAATATAGGCTTATTGTCATTAACGTCCGTTATGAACACAACTACAACAGCAGTGGAAGTGTGTATCGTAGCGTCTCCGTTGACACAGCATGCACCGTCATCCATGGCTGTTACATTTAATTCATATTTATCTCTGTCAAGCGAAATTGCTTTATTGTGCAGTCGGATGACACCAGTTATTTCTTCGATGACGAATTGGCCGGAACTCGTGCCGCCACCGACGAATCCAAATCGGACGTTGTCACCATCTTTATCTGATGCGACGACTGTAGTGACCAGTGTGTTTGGACCCGCATTTTCATCAACATTCGGTGTGTACACTTGCTGTGAGAATTTAGGTTCTTCGTCATTCTTATTCTTCGTATAAACCCTAACTGTAGCAGTTCCTGTTTTCGCTGGCTCTCCTTTATCTTTAGCAGTAACGACAAATTCGTAGTATGCGTTGTTATTGTCTGCGTCTAGTTGCTTGTTATTTGTGATTATCCCATTGGAATCCACGGAGAAGTGGTCATCTAAAAGAAAGCATAAAATACTTTTATTAATAATATTATTAACTGCTAGATAGTCTAGAATCTAGATTGATTGAAAAATGAGCTATTTGTATAGTCAATAAGTTTATAATATTATATAAAGATGTAAATTGATATCATTGTGTAAGTTGATAGCTAAGGTTTTTTTTTTCTGGCCTTGCCTTGTTCCTCTGACTAGGTAATTACTATGGGTGATATCAAAATATATTTATAATAGTTGCTTGCAAGGGCCGTGACTCTTAATTTTACATAACTTTTGATTAATACTGGATAAAACCGAGACACATACGTCTATATTAGCATATTCGGAGGGCCGATTTACTGTAAGCGTATGTGATTAATGTTTATATTACCTTAGAATAAAGTTATCGAAAACAATAAATGAGGGGGCTATACTAACTTTTAAACTTTTGTGTGCCATTAAAGATATACTTTTATTTATAAATTATACTATCGGGATCAATAAGTATTACAATTATTACATGTGCGTTCATGGTCATGAACAAGTGTTGTCACTGTTGGGATATCGTATAAACGGTAACTGGCAAAACAAAAAGATCAAAAATATCGGATGTGGATTAAGAAAATTTATAAGGTAGAATTTTCTTAATCCACATCGGATATTTTTGATATGAACACTACTAGTTACAACGGAAGGTCCTGGACCACTGAGCCACTCAGCCTGTGACTATAACCAGGAAAACTTACCTAATCGCCTTCAATCCCGTCTAAATTTAAGAAATTATATATCTCAGAAGCTTCGCTAAGATAATTATTACAGATCATTTAGCCTACTACAAATTACTTTTATTGATGTGTTGAATCTTTAATAACGCATATCTGTAGATACAGATACGATTACGTATGAGTAGTATTTAGATCAATGATACAGAAGCGTGTTACCGTGTGTTAAACGTTGAATTTAGTACAGTTAACATTGAGGATTAGCTATTGCTAATGCCAAGCTGCTCCGTTGTCCTTTTTAAGTCGCTATTTTATTAAGCAAAATGCTCATTTGAACTTTGACCTCATGTAAAGTTGAATTAACTATGAACTATCCATAATATAGAACCATTGCAAACTGTTTGACTTAACAATACCAATTTAAATAAAAAATATCAAACATTTTCATTTAATGTATGTGGATTGGCAGTTTCGCGACCGTCCCGTGGGAGTAAGGCGAAAATTTTATTTACTGTTTATTACTTTTCTGCTATACAATAGTTGTTATAGTTACGAAACGGGAAAGCCACATATTTGACATACTGTAGAGGTTGTGAACTTAGTTTCAATAAGTCCGTTACTTTATTTATATAAGGTAGTAAGACGTTAAATTTGAACGATATTGGTTTCCACATTACTTAATTTTCGATCCTTTAGAGTGGCATTTTTTTTAAACCAATTTTTTTTGCTACAAAATACATAAAACATTTACGGATAAAAGGCATTATAATACATTTAGGCACAATGCATAGCAAAGGCTAACAACCTAGTTGACGCTGTGCGAGAACACAGCACAGGTTTTCAGCTGGCCCCTGACATTTGCGCCAACAGTTAGAAATTAAGAAACGCACAGAGAGATCGCAACACAATTGACATATAGTCTAAATAAGTATATTGAAATGAAAAACTAATAAGAATGTATACCACGATTTCGACTTTCGATTTTTGACTAAAACGAAACAAATAAATATATATTTTTTTACATTTGAATGGATCCAAAAGGAAAATATATCCAAATCGCTTTACAAACGAAAGAATTTTGAGGTAACAAACATGAAAATAATTGCGTAACAAATATTTTGTTTTTGTCATTCATTTATTTATTACTTTCTTATGTCTCTATAACCCAACACAAACACTTGACAAATATCTTGAAAGAATAAAACAAGGTCAATACATGATTATATTATTGAAAGAGTTATCCTCTAACTCCTAAAGCTCAAGGACTCTTCCACCATCAGCTCAACAACATGAGATAACGAAACATACAGACGAATTGAGAACCTGCTCTTTTGTGTTTTTGAAGTCGGTTAAAAAATGACGAAGCGCTTCGAGAAAAGATAGGTAGTGCCTTAGCGCTTCTCTTGGCTTGTCTTGGCGGTGGCACTACCGTGCCAGCAGATTAGCAATTAATCGCTACCTATATTCCAATTTCATAACCAACTTAAAAAATAAGTATTTTCAAATTTCCGCAAAAAATAAAGAACACGGATTTTTCTCTCAGTTACCCAGGACATTAGTTTACAACAGCGCCATCTTGTGACGTGGACACCAAATTGAAAATAACACTAGATGGCAGTAGTAGACAGGTTTCTAAACTTGACATTTGAACTACCTTAGATTGAGTACATGTTTACAAATGCTAGACAATTTACCTGAGACTAAATACTCGATTTCAGCGTTCTTCCCAGAATCAGCATCCATGGCCTTGACTTTAAGGATGCTGGTACCAAGGGGGATATCTTCATCAACGTTGTGCGCTTGATAATCGGGTAGCTCGAACTTGGGTGCGTTGTCATTCACGTCCGTCACACGAATTGTAAGCTGGAATAATAATAAAAAGTACTGTATTTAATGCACGACTTGGTGGAATGTCTAAAGTAGAACACAAGTTGACAGAATAAATAGTGCAGATGATGACTTGATACAGCTTGCATAAGACATTAAGAATCGTCAGATAACGGGCCTGTACTCGACTACATGTAGCACTGAGACACAGGACACTCTCATAGGTTGTTTTATTTGGCTAAACCCAATCCTTAAGTTTTGACTGCAATCAGGCCTACTGAATCACACACAATAATAATGTCACTTATAATTTTTCGTAACATGCTTTGTGAAAATATAGGTACAATATTTATTTTCAATATTGCACATTTTACCTCGACAGAAGTCGAGAATCCTCCAGAATCTTCAGTGGCAGTCACGACTAAGGAGTACACGTGCGGTTGTCTGAGGTCTTCGAAGTCCAGTTCCTTAGCTAGCTTAACAATGCCCGACGTGGGACCAATGTTGAAGGTGCCTGCACCCTGGCCTTGCGCTTTCAGTGTGTAGCGGATTTCGCGATCGGCAAACGACTTGGCTTTAACTGATATTATGCTGGAATAAACGAAATGAAAATTTATTTAATATTTACAACATTTGTTTAAAAGTATATAAAACATGACAAATAACTACAGTTTTAGTTTGTTCTGAGGAAAACTGGCAAGCAAAGTAATTTGTTAATTTACCTCTCTTGCAAAAACATTATCTGTTTATGAACAATCTGTGATCGATACAGATGCAACTCAACCAAAATGATACTACAACACGTACTTTCGCAAATCTTTCCAGTATACTACAACATCTTTTCTGAATTTCCTAACATGATTGTCTATGGGAGTCTGAAAGGATGCGAAGAATATTAAGATAGATCAATTAATTCCAGAAAAATATTAAATTCTAGATTTTTTGCCTTCTCTTTTAATCTCTCTCTCTCTCAAAAATCCAAAATTCTCTGACAAATGGGATCTATTTAGGACTATCCGCATTGATGGAAAAAAACTGGGAGATGATGCAAATTTAAGGCTATACTTAATATTTTCGCACGAATATAAAACACTCGCGGTGAAATATCGTTACGTAAAATTTTGACAGTATAATCGTCATATACTTGTCATGACATATAATTGTCATTACAATGATCGGTTTTTAACTGCAAGAGATTTACAATTATGAACAACCGAAAGTTATATGTAAGCTGTAAGTTTGGGGGTCATTAAAACTCGCTAAATATGCAAATATTAAGTAAAAGTAAGTACTCTTTAAATAAAAAATTATACAATAAGGTATATATATTAATTGTTAGAACAGGTATTTAGTGAGTGAATAGCATCGTTAACACGTTTTTGGACGAAGCGTTACTTAAACAGGATTATACCTATAATTAAATAAATGCCCTCTATATGTATACTGCCTAAGGTGGGAAGCTTTTAATCACGGCAACAGCCAGTTTAAGCTATGCGACCCTGATCTTCACGACATCCCCAACACATTCGTATAATAGATTTCCTTAAACTTCTATTGCCCTTCCTTCTTGTCTAACTCTCCCCTTCAAGAACAGACGAAGATATATTTGCCCAAATGTAGGGGTTCGACACGTGTCTGCCGACCTTTAGAGGATATATGACAACATGTATATTTATCTCTCGCCTTAAGAAAAAAAACTCGTTTGTATTGTATCTCGTACTAGGAGTACTACTGATCTACTACAGATCTAGGATTACTACTATTGAAAGGTCCTTTCTTTTTCAATCACGTATCTTTCTACACACACTACACTATTGTCAAGAAGTGTAATTGTTAGATTTCACTTACTCAGAATCTTTTTTCTGGTTTTCCGCAATTTCCGCCTCGTAGCTAGGTAGATAGAATTGCGGTGCACGTTTGCCACCAACAATGCTAAGACGCTCCTCGGGTGTAGACTGAAATCTTCTCTCATCGACGCGTCCGTTCTGAAATTTTAATAAAGGTACCTTAAATATTTACTTTATATGCATATCTGGTGAATACTATTTCAGTACGTACGACCTCGGAATTACCAATGACAAAAGAGTGATGCTTTGTGCTTTATCGTAACGCTACTTTGTATTTATGGCCTCTAGATAAAAATAGAAACAAGTTAATACCTACTTAATAGTCAAAGTTGGAAGGTAAATAAATAAACTTCTCTACTGGTACCGCCAGCACACCATCCTATGGAAGATCGGCACCAGTTCCTATTAAGACGAAAGTTTAACCGTCTCTGGTTTTGCCTTTTAATATTTGGCTACTCAGAACGTCGTCTGCCTAGGATTTTTTTGTATAATCTAGTATAACGAAATACTAATCGTTCGAGAGTGATTCAAGCTAAAACCTGCTACGCCCTTTACCTATTTGGTCATTAATTTGATTACTCTGGATAAATAAAAGAAATGTGAAAAAGATTGCTGAACACTGATTTTAATCCGAATTTAAGGACAAAATATGTCAAAAGCAATGTTATATTTAATGTTTACATTATTTTGCTTGTAGTTTAATTTAACGGCAATCTACTCTTGTTTTTAATTAACATACTAGTAAAACTTACAATAATAACAATATAGATAGTATGAAGTTACCTGATCTTCGGCCTTTACGTAGAGTACGTACTCCATGTCTAGTTGAAACGGATCAGTTCCCCTGGTTCGTACAACACCCGATCTCTCATCAACTTCGAATCTTCCACCAGTCCTATCTCTTACAATGAAGTAGTGAATGTTGTGATCGGTGTCAGGATCCCTGGCTTGTAATGTAAATACAGGGGTATTTGGAGCAGCATTTAGCTGCACAACAGTCTGCATCGGTAACGGTCGGTTGATGAAATAAGGGGGCTCATCATTTACGTCTTTCACGTGGATTATAACACGTTGGTTGTCAGTATCTGAAAAATATAAATACTAGCGTTAAGTCGGTTGTTTTTTCGTCCGCGACACACAGTTCGTAAAAGAATGAGGAGACATTACAATTTCACTACGTAAATAAGAACTAAAACCAAAATGACTTTCCTAAAAAAGAGTATGCAAGGAGTTACTTTCATATTCTTGTCCATAGGATCTACGTTTTGGAACAGGCAATTAAACTTTGGGTTTACGACTAACAATTCAAAAATACTTATAATTGGTATCATTGAAATTTATGATAATTTTGTAAAGAACGTCGTGAACGTCGTCGTGCCTTCCACTGACTTCCGACCATAAACAAAAGGGTGACACACAAAAAAAATAACAACATACTTTTAAATACTAGTTAACGCACTAGAAATTGATTTAGCTATTTTTTGATATTTTGTTTTTCATCAATACTTTAAAACAATTATTCTTATCGCGAATTCTTATCGTGGTAAACATTAGTACGGATGCCAACGCACAAAATGCAGTAATCATGTGTAGTTTCACAACATCATACACAAATCAAATTTTACATTTGCTGTTTTGTTTTTTAAATAACAGCTTTATACAGGTAGAGACATAAGTACAGTCTGCTGCTGTAAGCACTATTTTTGTAATACATTGAAAATGTTTATGTTGAAAAGCAAAGATAAATTAACATTTGGTCTACACACATAAAACATTATTAAAAAACATAAATAAATTGGCAGTCATAATTTAAACAATTCCACGCATACTGTTCTGTGGTAATACTTACATTTCAGTGCAACTGCTCCGTTAGCGTGGAAACAAAATGGAGTACCAATTAATAACACATAACATGTATTAAATATGGGTATAATAATTAAAGTCTAAGTCTAAATAGACATATAAAAAAGATAGGCACATTAGAAACCACCACTTCATAAATATGTCAAAATTGTATCGGACGAATAGAGGCATTAATCCAGAAAAAACTACACAACAAAAAGACGTTTACATCGGAATACAAACATCACATATTATCAAACATAGCCCTTAACGCTGTTGTATCCATACTACGTCCTTTTTGTACGATAGGATTTTCTAAATCCTCAGTATAAATCCGCAGTTTGCTGTAATCCCATTCCGCGGCTCTAGTTTCGGCTGTGTTTTCACACACAACTGAACAATGCAATACATTGACCCCTAAACGTCTTGGTGTTGGTATTACATGATACCTCAGAACTACGTAATAGCATATAAACTCACTTTCTTATTCTTTATTATTTAGTTATACTATATAGTCCGTGTGGTGACGGATTAAGAATACAAATTGTCACCACCCCAATTCATCCCGTGGGTGTCGTAAGAGCCGACTAAGGGAGCAAACTAAGCAGGACAACAGCACTGCAAAGAGAAGGAAAACTTGAAAGAAACCCTATACCAACCCGTCTGGCCAGCGTGGTATAGTAGGCCAAAACCTCCTTTCTAAGGAGAGGCCTATGTCCAGCAGTGGACTAGTATAGGCTGTTGATGTGATGTGTGATGATATACTATAGTTTATGAATGTTTGTTTTGTTTTGTTTCGACTAATGTATTGCCGTACTGTGTGAGAGAAACAATAAACTATACTAAAAATGTTTTCAGGTAAAGGTAAACGAGAAATCTCGTCCAAGATTCTAGAAAATTTAAAAAAATGGCAGGGCTTTTTAATGGGACTGAATATGCAGAGTTGTATAGCTTGTTGTTTGTTTACCTGATGACAAATAACGTATTGTACATATAGTAACATGTTTATATTAACAAATAGTTTTCACAAAGTCACACATGAAAATGTGATTGATTACTTAGTGAGTTCATATACTCGTAGTACCTTCATACAATGGTACACCGAACGAGTAGCAGATAACTCTTAGGTGGCCGATCTCCGCTTAATTGTTACACACGAACTATAGTATCATAGCCCATTCTCTGTTTTAATTATTCCGTGGCATTAACATTACATAAACATGCAGTAATAGCTCAGAATAACAATGATATACGAGTACTATACGTTTAAGTGTATAACCTCAACTAATACCTAACGATATGAGTATAAGAGAATATACGTATTATTGATCCAGGTATTTAAAAAAAAAACATTACAAATCCTGAAAACCTATTATTTCCAAAATACGAAAACTGGCCACATATAATCGAAAAATAGCAAGAAAAAACCTTCTTCAAAACCTGGGCTATAAATATCTAAGTTCATAAGTTGAGAATAGAATAGAGAACTCTAACATCATGATAGAGCTGCAAGTGCTCGTATATGCAGGGAGCATTAGGGCGAGGTTTAAAGATCATTAGTTTTAGCATCTTTTACTATGTCTGGTAAAAATGCCAGATTTAAATTTAAACGAATAAAAAAATACAAACAAAATTGAAGAAATTACGATAATTCTTACGATTGTACCATATATAATTGATTGTTAATTATGTTTTTTTAAATAAAATTTCATTTTATGAAGTAAGTGATTATTACGTGTCCGCAAAATTAGTATAGAAATTTGAATTTCGCAACATTTTGCACTGAGCTCCGGTAGAAGGCAAAGGAAAATAAAAATTAATTAACATATAATTTAACGAAATAAAAGTTATTGTATAACTTGAATTCAATTATATGCATAGATTTGACTACTCAAATAGTATTGAATTTTTTTTTTTTTATAATGGTGCATACGAGCAGATGGGTCACCGGTCATTCTTTCTTTATCTTACAAGTTAGTAATACATAACATTAAATTAGTAATTAGCAGCATTAATTACTAAATCACCCAGAACGACTAAGCAGATCTGAATGAAATTTGGGATTTGGCACAGAAGTAATACTCTAGAAAAGTGTACAAAAGCTAGTACATAATTATGTGTTTTGTCAAAAACCTTTTCCAACGTTAAAATTAAGTAACAGCGAATAAAAAACACACAACGCTCGTTAAACTGTTGTCTACACGATGGTGTGTAAAACAAAATCGGTTAATTCAAGTTACTCTGCATAATAACAAAGAGGTAATGATTAGCTAAGGGATTTAAGGTAACGTTTGTGGGTACCTAGACAAACTCTGGTGCTTTGCCAAATATCTAAAGCAGATGTTCTACATATTACAAGTATACTGATGTATAGTACCTATGTCGATATTTGTTTTGAATGTGTGCCACCTCAAATCGTTCGCTTTTTATTTACTTTCCAAACATGCACCGCCCAGCAGAAAAGTCAATACTGTTTTGTCCGATTTATCTTATGTTCCTTGGAGGTCTGCTGAATAAACACCTAGCCAGTTGTTGTAACCCGTGATAAATGTGTTCCTTAAATTCCTTTTATAATTCAAGAATATAATTATCCTAAGTAATAGAAAATAAACATAGGTCGAAATCAAACAGTTGACCAGAACGCAAATTCTAACGTTTTGGCTTGTTGCCAAACGCTAATCCCATAAAATATCAAGATGAAAACCCTTTCTGAACATAATGTATTGTCAAGCAGGAAGCAATTTGGTGAAAATGCTGTAAACGTTCAAGTCGGCGCTTCTAAACAGTTAAAAGACTTAACAAAGCATTTATTTGAAATTCTTGTCAGTCGAAGCTAGAATAATATGATACATTAAATTTTCATCTCTTGATTGTAGAGAGAAAGAGGCACAAACGACACCCGTCGGCAACCGTGAAATATAGCAGGTTTTAACATGAGGTGCAGGTGTAAAGGGGAAGCAGGTAGTAGGATGGGGTGGGTGTTAGTCTCACACCAACCCAGCGCCCGCCTCGTAGAGCGCACGCGTACACTACGTCGGCGTGTTTTCCTCGTGACCATGCACAACCGTGTCACGACTGACTTTATAGTTCATAGTATTTTTACAACAGCCAATGGCCTAGTAAATATGTCCAATCACGTTAACTGTACATTTAGTACAGAAAGAAAGTTTTAATCAATATATTTCAGTAACTATAGCAACTATTAAAGCTAATATTTTTGAGATACCGAGAAAAATGAGAACAGATCACGCGACGGTTTTCTTTCAATCAAAGTTCGGGTCGATTTAGTGAGTTAGACTGTAATTGTATTAAGCAAGTTATATGTATAGCTATGTATTTGACTGAGAGTAGTTATTCAGTCTGAGTATTACTCGTAGAGCGTTCAATATGAGTGCAATGCCGCTGCACAAGCCAGACAATGGACTGGTGAAACTTTAATAAGTTAGACAAGGTGCGACGAACGCGAACGTAACAGCAACCTTGATCTACGGACATCATCATTTCATTCACTACATACTGAATAACTTTCAATACTTGATGTTTATTATGATTACACGTTACAACTGTTAATGTTTAAAATCACAAATATTTGATCGTTGAGTTTCGCATTTCTTTATTTAGGTATATGATAAGAATATCCAGTGTTCTTAAAATGTTTGTAGATAAATAAGGTGTATATTCCTTTTAGAAAAGGACTTACAGAATACACATTAACGTTGTTTTCGGAAGTAGAAACATTAAATTAATCTATTTATTGTTACAAAATATACTCTAAACTTTTGTTAAAAATTTAATAACTTTCTACAAATGAAGATAAAGACCAGCAGCACTAGTGGTGTCACTTTCTCGATGCTTATCTTTTCTTCTCCCCTGGCGCCTAGTTCTAGAGATCCGCCATCACAAACAAAACATCACTCTAGTATTTGCATGTTCTGGATGGAAAAGTTATCGTTCTTCCTCGTAAAATATACATAAATTTAAGGAGGAAATAGCGTCGTCTGATAACTTATGAGTAATTGTTTGCAAAGCTTACAGTATCTGGCAATATTTTTACACAGCTGCGTGTTTCCGCGATGCTGTACCGGTCAAACCATGCCAAGTATTTGACCTATGTTTGCTTATCGACCTTCGATGTGTGGAAACGAACCTCCAGTGTAGGGGAA